CATCCCCGGGCCAAGTGTATGTCTTTTTTTCCCCATTATTCGACCCCCCCCCCCCCCCCCCCGCCCTCCAAAAAGGATGATGATGATCGTCTGATTAGAACACACAACTCCCCGATCTTCAACCACAACAGAAAATGAAGTCCAATCACCTGATTTCAGGTAACTGATGTACATTGCCTTCTGACTCCTGAACAACTAATAACTTTTAACCACAGAGATCTGCACCAGATGATGGCCTAATGATTGATTGTTTTTCTTGTTATGTTCCCTATGTTGATTATTTAGGATACATCCTAATCTATATATTGGGTGACTTATATGTATGCTGCACCTTGTCTCCAAAACACGAGTCTCTCACGGCAACAGGAAGATCTTTGCTGACATCTTTTTTCATCTTTGTGTGAATGCGCTAGTGGCTGTGTGGCAAAAACAAACACAATACGGCCCGCTAACCATACGTGACGTACAATTTAAAGAGAGTTTTCACACATAAACACTTTAATGTCTAAAGACAGGAGGAGATTCAGAGAGAAGCTTAAAATATGTATTAAAGAAAAAAGTCAATATTAGCTCTGGGATGCCGTAAAATGTTGGTCCCATTCGCCGGTGTTATTTCCACAAATCCACTTGGGAGAAAGTTATTCCTATTTAATAGAAAGCTCTGGACCCTTTACTCATGACAAATTAAAGGCTTTCAAAAGTCTGATACAGCATGATTCACATCACCTGTGAGTGATTACCAAAAAAATAATAATAATAATAAAAAAGAATAAATCCTCACTGCAACTGCAATTAATCAGTATCCTTAATTACTTCCTAATTTATTATTATAATGATCGTGGGTTGAGACATCTGAATCTGAACCAAAATGCAAATAAATAAATAAATAAATAAAACATGACTCAGTAGATTTTAAAATACATGAAGATGGATGTTTTTAAAAACATCTTCTGTGATTGTTAGAGTCAGATGAAGACTCACTTCTATACTGTGGCATTCCCTCAGCACAGTCATATTTTAAGAAATTGTAGCTGTTTTTATGCAGTTTTTTGATGTATTCAACTTTATTATTTTGCTTTTAACTTGCTTTCATCTCTCGCTTTTATTTGTCTCTATGTATATTTTGTTGGCTGTTGCATGGGTCAGTAGTATTTAAACATTTTTTTATGTGTACAGCACTTTGGTTTGCCTCCTGGCCAATGGAAAGCACTTCATAAATAAAGCTGCTGCTGCTGCTGCTGCTGCTGCTGATGATGATTAACAAATACAAACAAAAGGACTTACCATGAGCAAAATGGGCCTCAAGAATGCAGGCTTTCTTCAGAAACTCTGGGCCGTTCGCTTCATCTCATTCATAATTTGCGGTCCTTTATGGAGGAAATTCCGCTAAAACTTTTTATCAAGTGTCCCACGGGCCAAACAATCAACCACACAGCAAGAATGATCCATCTGCTTTGCTAAACCCTCCTGCTAAACCCTCCTCCAAATGTGCAAAACAATCAAATTATAGGCAAAGACACTGTTTCTTGCCCCACAATCCTATGATGCAATGCAAGAAACAAACATTGATGTCACAAAAAATCCTGCTATAAACCTGGTTCAGATTCATTAATTTACAAAAAAATGTGAGGTTAAAGGTTTAATCTGTTATAGTTTTCTGTGTTACCATTCCCTTATTTGATACATATGCTATTTTATCATTAAACTCTAAAAGCCAATATTAGTTTTATGATACTGGATGAGTTTTATTATGCGTACATCACGTTAGTCCATGTGTGCTCTTTTTAAATATGCTCACAAATATGTTGGACCTTACTTTATTGACATAGATGAAAACAGAATCGCCTGAGAATCACATTTTTATGATGTGAGGCTTTTTCTAGCTATTTCAGATCAGTTGGACCTCACAAATAGCTGTTCTAAATAAAAGGAAACAATGTTTAAGTTTCCCAGAACTTAATTTGTTGGGAAAAAATCAATCAAGTGTGTCTAAAAATATTAAATCATGTATAGGTTAAAGAGAGAAAAACAGTGAAAGAAGACAGTGTCCTCTTAGGAAGGTGCAGGATCTCAGCAGGTCAGTCCCTTTTAGAGAATATTTGTTATTCTGAATTAACTTATTAAGTGTTACAGATGAAGACAAGTAAATGTTATTTATTATTAAAATATTTCTGGTTTTTATGTTCATATTGCCTATTTCTTCATATGTAGGGAGATCATTTAAACACACACACACACACACACACACACACACACACACACGCACGCACGCACGCACGCACGCACGCACGCACGCACGCGCGCACACACACACACACACACACACACATTAAAATGTGGACATGTCCTTAGATCACTTGCTGACAATAGTATATTTCTTTATTGGTCCAAACTTCAGAAAACTGAGGAAAAACACATTTTTAAAAACACCCTGAGCTTCCTATATTTGAAAATCTAACAAGCTTCGACATGCTTTTAGTAAACAAGAGAAACTGTCAATCACCAATAAATGTTTTCCTTCACTTCTTCAGCTTTTTGAATACATATCTATGAATAAAATAAATATGTCTGCAACATAAAAACTGACTTCACCGTAAAGAGAAAATTCACTCTTTCACAGAGATAAGCCGTTCAAAGATTTATGATTCTGATTTACTGTAACAGCAAACAAAAAGCTGAATTCTTCTCAACAGGTCTCTGCAAAGGTTGCAGCACGGCCCGTCTGTGCAGAGATAAGATTGAACTTCACCAGATTCAGAAGCTCAAACAGACAAACAGCATGCTAAGGTTCTGGCAGCTAAATGGTCCCTGGAACAAATGTTGTAGATGTTTTTTGGTCCATCTGTGGGGCTTCAGGGATGGAAGGACCTGCTTCTGTTATGCTGTTTGTTTGTGTGTGTGTGTGTGTGTGTGTGTGTGTGTGTGTGTGTGTGTGTGTGTGTGTGTGTGTGTGTGTGTGTGTGTGTGTGTGTGTGTGTGTGTGTGTGTGTGTTTTGAGGGCACCAGACTTAGTGAAGCAGACCCTTAACAGAGGCAGAATGTGCCAAGTGTATCAATAATATCTCAAGGATGATAAATGACCTGTTTCTTCTTTCGGTTTATTGTTTCAGGCTGACTTATTTATGGCTTCAGCTACCAAACCAAAGGTGTCTTAGACACTGCTGAGGGCCGAGGCATCAGTTTTCTTTCTGAAAAGTTTTTTTTCCTCAAATTTTCTCTCAGCAGCTGTGGTGGTATATTTATTTTCAGTGACAGAGTTGTCTCATATGTCTGCTGCCTCTGGGTATATTGATCTGACTTATAGATCGTTCAGGTTTTATATTGCAACTTTCAGTGGACAGTTGGGTCTGTTTCTCACATTGTCCTCAGACTGGCCTCCTTGAACTCTTCTCTTGTCTGAATAACAACACTGAAGTGTCTTAAACTGGTGTTAATGCATGTCTAAGGAACCAAAATTTAAGTTGGAATAAAGGATATTATTACATATTATCTCCATAAATTATAGATTATTATTATTATTAGTAGTATTATAGCAGAAATCGGGAAGTTCTTACAAAATTGCAGAGTGGAGTTGGTTGGTTCTCCAGTTCAGATGGGTTTAGTGGGTTTGGAGAAGACCCATGACTCTTGAGGACATCAGTGGGTCACTTTCAGAGGCAAAATGATGCAGAACAACAAAGACGTCATTGGTTTTTTTGAAACAGCTTTGGCATCAACTTTGGACTATTGGCTAGAGTCAAGAGCAGATAGAGGTACTTAAGTCCTTTATAAAAATAATGCATTTAGGTCTTCTTCTACAGTGTATGGTGGGCTGCCCCATTGACCAACAACTATAGCGGTGAGTATGTCATGTTGTTTGTTGTCCAATAGCGTTTGGAGACAGTTTGAAAGACAACCGTAGATACTGCCCCATGACTAAGCTCTGTCTAGGGATCATGGCCAGACTATATAATCACATATATAGGATGGCTAGCCAGGCTATTTATAGTTAAAGTCCCATAGTCATCACACACTGGTGAAATTCATCTCTGCATTTGACCCATCCTCATGGAAGGGAGTGCACTCGGGAACTATTTGGTAATTTAACCTTCCCAATCCAACCCCTTAAAACTGATCTTCCAGTCCCAGGGAGGACACTCTACCATTAGGCCACTGATCTGATTTTCCGCCCACAGACCAAAAAATATCCATGCTAGATTAATTGGAGCCTCTAATTGTCCTCAGGTGTGAGTGATTGGTTGTTTCTGTGTCCCTGTGATGGACAAGAGAGCTTCTCAGGGTGACAAATCTTGAAACAGAGACATTTGGAGTCAGTCATCCATGCCTTCATTACCTCTCACCTGGACCAAGGCCGGATTAACCATATGGGCAACTGAGCAATTGCCCAGGGGTCCACGAACTGTAAAGGGCCCAGGCCCAGGGCAGCAAGGGCACGAGCAAAATACTGTATCTGTAATCTCCCGCTTTATATTAAACTAGGGTGACCGTACGTACTCTTTTCCCCGGACATGTCCGCTTTTCACTCTGTCCGGGCGGGTTCTTGTATTGATGAAAATGTCCGGTTTTTCATCCAGGAGCAGGGATCGAATTATGGGGGAGCTGGATATACTATACATCCAGGGGAGCCGGAAAAAAGTTGTCGACCTATATTACATCATTCATGGACTCTTTTGAGCAGAGAGCACAGAGAGCGGCAGAGCGATGATCGTTGGTGCGCAGCTCTCCTGTGTCCAGCGCATGGTCCATTCTCAAAGTGGCGCAACCAAAAAACTAGAATTAACACATGATCGTTCATGTCCGCACATGTTCTCTACTTTCTGTCTTATTTGTGCCGGAAGTGCTCTGCTACTGCAGAGCTCATCGTGAAATGCGGTGATTTTACCTCACTGGCACAGCATCGAAACACGCACTCCGCTTTGCGGTCAGGAGATCCCTTTGATTGTCATGATCTGAGGTATTTGCTTGACCCAAGACATGCAGAATCAGAGACCGGAGACATGTTTGATAGTAAAAGGTAAAATTATATTTATTTAACAGGAAACTAAGGGTGCACTGAAGTCCAGTGGGTATCCAAATCAGGAAGCGGCGTCTACAGGAAGACAGAGGTGAGTATGGGTCTTGTAGTTCCGGGAGATTTTATTTGTAGGCGAAAGAAGAGTTGTTGTTTGGAGGGGGAGTGAGCCAGGGTGATATCCAAGATGGGGAAGCGGTCCAAGATGATGGTGAGTCAGAGAGTGAGCGAGGATATTGATCCGGAGAGGTAGCGTGAGCGAGGTGGAGAGCGGGTCGGCAGGCGGAGGAGACAAACAGGAACGAACCAGAGATTTCCTTCCAGGAGCAGAGCGAGTTATCCAAGAATCCAGGAACCTGAGGTGAGTATCAAACATCACATGAGCGAATAATCCAAAGAGTCTAAAATTCAGTACAGTAAAAACTCGGGAGGGCAAGCGACTACCAGTTAACGGCAATCATCCGGCATCGTAGTCTGGTCTTCCTCCTCCTTATAAAACCGGCCCGCTGATGAGAAACAGCTGTTGCTCCCTCTCCTGCAATCAAAGCTCAAAGGTGGTGAATAATGAGACGAGTACTCACCCCAGCTCATGACATTGATCTGCTCAAAAGTAACTGATGAGGTGAAAAAGTAAGAATCCAGGCAGCAGTTTTTCTGGAGAGTTTAGAGGAGATGCAGGAAGATGAGAGACAGACAGGACAGGAAAATAATTCAATAAATACAATGTAACGTGAGGAAATATGGGTTTTCTGTCACAATGGTGGTGTTGGACGCAGCTGGGTCAAAGCTGGGTCATTGAGAACTTTCACCCACAGATTAAGACCTGAACGCCAGCGAGTCTGGGAGGAAACCATAACATCAGCCACCTGCAGTCTACCAGAAGATGTGTTTCCATGAGTTGTACCCAGACCAAGTCAAAACATAAAGTTTAAACTTCTGTTTCTTTATTTTAATGTTAAAGTAACCATTATCATTTTGCTCATTATAAATGTGTTTAATCAAATGAATGGTTCTTATGCTTTGGGGTAATTATAATGGCTTAATGAATCCATAATTAGATAGTGTTGAGGATGTTTGTTGCTGACCTTCACACACAAACATTCACACACACCCACACACATCTTCCCACAGTAAACTCCAGACACATTTGATGACGCACACGTTTGCTTTGAGAAGAGAAAGGTTTTTGGTAAGTTTGAGTCTTATGATTCCAGTTCGTGCTTGACAACGAAAGAGAACAGACCTGAAAACCAAAGGGGGGCAGAGCCTGTTGGCTCGTTCTTCCCCCCTTTCACGCTGTTTCTGCCAAGCCAGGCAGAATAGCTGAATCGCAACTTCTAACGCAGACTCATTACCGAGTCTTTTGATTTCTGAGTGAATTAACTTAAGAAAGCGCGTCGACAAAACGCTTTACCATCCACGTGTACCGAGGGCAACTCTGGACCGGTTCCGTTCGACACCTACGTCTTCCCTGTCAGCCGCCGGTGTCATCTGGATGAACCACAACATCCTCCACGGCCCGGATCCGAAAGAGGGTCCACAAGAGTTCGGTGAGACAGAGCACGGTTTTTAGCGTTTGATGCAGTTCTCTGATAAGACCTAAGTTTATCCAAACCATCACTTCACTCAGACACCTGTTTCTTCCTGAAGCAAAATCAGACTCACACACGCATTCATGTCACGACATTCTCAATCTTCATAAATTCACCAGAAGGTCTATTTGAGCAAGAACAGCATATCAATTGTTAAAGATTGTCCCACAAAGTTGCCAATGTTGATTGTTTATTTCCTGTTTGTCAATTTCAAAATCATTAGTTTAATTTGAAGAATTAAAACTTTTAATTGTCAAACTGGTTTCCTCATTGAACTGAAACACAGACACTCAGATATTATCGGCAGTTTATCGATGAAAACAACCTTTGAGTCTTCTTAACAATAAAACTGAGTAAAGACAGTTTCTCCTTACAATATGGTTAAACCAACCAATTTTTCTTTACAATATGACCAGCCAGCCAGTTTTACAATTTGGCGAGCGTATCCAGTCTTCTATATCTGCGATATGTCTGATTTCTAACATCTGCAAGCGAATTTTTCACAATTTTACGCTTTTCTCTGTGTTTCACTTTGATGTCTTATTTTGAAAAAAAAAAAAAAACGGAAATTGTTCCGCTGAAGTCACTCTTCCGGGAGACGTCCTGGTGGGAACTTGACGGCGGAAGAACTCCGATCTCAAATTGTCCGCAAATTACAGAACTAACTTTGATTTATCCCATCTTCGCCTTCGGAGCGAACGTGTGAGTTGTGATTTTGACTAAATTCTGTCCATTTTGACGCAACGCCGCGCCTCTAACCTCTTCAGGTCGGAAAGCTACATTTCCGCTCTGAACCTTGCTGGGTGAGCTACCGTGAGCAGCTTATCCTCAGTCCTAAAATTAAAACTAAATTCTCCGAACCTCCGCACAGAAACTAAATTCTCGGACACCCTTCGTCTCAGTGTGTTGACACTGTGGGCGAGCTATTGTGGAAAATATTTCCATTGCATAGGCGACTGATCAAAGCCGAATCTAAACGGAATGCTCGTAGGCACCTACCGTAGCTTAAATTGCTAGGTAAACGCTGTAAGCCGGGTCATGGCCGTCACGCGTTACTGCATTCAGATTGCGTACGCTTTAAAGTCCGTTTTAGCTAAGCGGAGCGAGATGCCTGCTTGTTAATCGGGAAAATTTAAGTCTGGTCGCTACAGACGGAAAAGCTAGACCTAGCCGGAGAGCTAAGCTAGCGAGCCACAGTTGGACAAAAAGGGAACGCGTCCCGTTAAATTGTCAAACCATTTCTGACACAGTAAGTCTGTGTCCTCACAAAACCCGCATTGGCGGTGATTCTTGTAATTCACTACGGTGTGTAGAATCTACATTTTGCTACGTTTGTCCGTCTGATAACATCTCGGCAGCGTAGGGTTTATTATTTATTTTATTTTATTTTATTTTGGACCGGTGAACGGGTCGGCTTTCGCAGCCTCCGTTGCTCGGATCCATGCCTTTTTCTTCCATCTTGTGAAGTTGTGTGTATTCATTTCTCTATCAACAATTACTTGTTTTACCCTGTGTCATAAAGTTAAGTACGCTACGGACAGAATTTGCCCGGAGTTTTACGTCGACTCAGAAGGTAAAAACGCGAGTTGCTCTGAACTTAATGGGAGATGGACGAGACACGACAAAATCTTTCTTGCACTGTTACACCTGATGTAAGGTTCTCTGACGTTCTGCTTCCAGGACATGCCAAGACGCAGGAGTCTGTTTACCGGCCGGGCCACGCTGGTCCCTCCGCCCGCCCGAACGGGCCCGCATTAGTCGGGTGCCGCCGGTCGGGCACGGTGGGGACTAGTGGCAGCGGTTCGGTGCCAGCTGCACTGGGTCGGAGGTGGTTCTGGTCTGCAATTCATGACGTGAATTCATGCAACATGCTGTTTACAGTCATAACGCTTTTTCTTTACTTTTATTTCTTCCAGGGGATCAAAAACCCACCATCAATATCAAGGTTTGAAATAAACAACACTTTCTCTGCTACTTTTAAGCTGAATAAATCTCTTGAGCCTATGGTTAACCTCTCTGACGAACAGGTTGTGCTTAACCCTTTGGTTCCTGATGCTTCTTCTCTGTCATCCATGTTAGAGGCTGACCATCTCTCCAGCATGGGTGTGAAATCTTCAGACTGTGATCCACCGCTTCAGTCAGAGGTCTGCTTTACTCGTCAGTCCGCCTCATGCACAAACCGGCTTCTTTATCGGGGCGTGATGGAAACGTCAGCCGCCGTGAAACACTTGTGGTCTCCGGACGGAGCTACCATGCCATTTAAGGGGTTTGTGCCCGGACATCTTGACCTTTATGTGAATGACCTTGTCACTTTTCAGTTTGTGACCTCTGCTAATACGGTGGCCAACTCCTTTCTCCTTTCACAGGGGTGTGACTTAGTCTCTGGCCTCTGTGCTCTCTTTCCTGTGATTTCTCTTACAGGTGACCACGACGACGCAGAAAGCCCTGCGGTTTCCAGCAGTCAAGTGGTCAGTGGGGATATTGAAGGAGGCTCGGTGGTTGCTGCGATCACCTCTCTCACGGGCACGGGATGGCCACCCGGCCCGCGAGCAGTAGGTGCGTGCAGTGATGCTCTGCTCGGGGCCCCTCCTGACAAAAGGGGGGTGCCGGGTGGCACTGAGTTTTCCGTTGCGGACTTCAGGCTGTTCGGGGGAAACCCTCCTCCGAGCGGGCGGGTCATTGCAGAAATCGACACTGACCTTCCACCAATTCAGCTGACGACATTGACCTCCGACCCGGAGTTAGGTGCTGCACCTTCTACGGGGTGGAGTTCTAGTCAGTCTGTAACTACTCTGGTTAAACCGTTTTTTTCTGATTCTGTGTGGGAACCTCCATCATTCTTGGGAATAAAGTATTCTTGGCTTCAGTTTTCAGGACAGACCATGTTCCTAAAGCTAGCGTCATGTCTGTATCTGATTCTAAACGTGGCTAGGTTTGCTTTGACACCCGTGACACAACCATCCTTGGATCACTCCTTTTCAGAACCTCCAAGTCCAACACCTCCAGGTCTTTGGACATCTGAACACCTACTCTTTCAGCACGATTCAGGTGACGCTGTGCATCTTCTTGGTAATAGGGCTTTTAAGAGCTTAAGAACTGTTTGTTATGCTTCTCTTGTCTCACAGACATGTTATGCTTCTCCTGTCTCACAGACATGGCATAAGTTTGAGCAACAAAAGGGGGGTGAGGAGCCTCCTCCTGCTTTGCGAGCATCATTTTCGCATTTCCAGTTCACTACTATTTCTGATCACAACACAGTCGCCTCCGTAAAGCTGCAACCCAACTTTGAGCAGGTAAAATCAGGTTCTGATCTAACAGCTAAACCATCAGCTTCACTCCAGTTCCAAACGGAACCCTCAGGTAAATTCAAACAAGTTTCCCTGTGGGTTCGTAACACAAGATACAAACAGTTTGATTACCAAATCGCTTATGAGCCTGCTCCCACAGATACGTCCAAACTCGTGTCTCTGTGGGTCCGCAATACCAGATTCAAAACGCTTACTGAACGCCTCTATTCTGACCGGATTCTTTTCCACTAACTGGTGGACCGTTACAAATTCTCTCGTTTGTGGGATGAATTTTTAACAAATGTGATATCCTTTGAGTTTTTTTTTTCGGGTTACCTGCCTCCAGCCAGGGTCCTGTTACTAACTCATATTTTTAGGGGTTACTAACCTACTGATTTACATTTTTAGAACTGATTTACATCTCTATCTTTTTATTAGTGCTTTGTGTAGCATGATTATATTTGATTACAAATTTAATTTTATGTTGTTACTATTTCCCTTCAAGGGCCACAAGCCAATTTGCCCTTCATTTTCATGATTATTTCTTTTATATATATGCCTTTACTTAGTGCAGCCTGCTGAGTTTCACATATCAGTTAGGATTTACTTTCTTTTATTTGTGTTTTCTCTGCATCACGTTTTTACATGACATGTAGAACAGGGTGCAGAACATTTCTTCTTTAGGTAATTCACAAAAGGCATCCACATTTTCCCAGAGGCACCCTTAGATAGGTTTTGATTGATTTCTTTGATTTGCATCAAATGCTATCTATCGTGTGGGCTGTC